TTTCATGTCAGAAAACATGCACATAGGGTAAGCTGGCAATAATTAAAGTCTTGTTTTCAAATTCTTTAAAAAACTGAAACAGGGGTAGGGGTATAAAATGTACTGTAAAAGGAAACTTAGAGTATATGCAGTGATTTCATTAAGGCTATAATTCTGATAAATAAGTATTGTTGTGAGAAAAAGTGTTTGTAGAAGGTTTTCTATTTGAATAAATGTTTGTATAGCTTGCACTTTGTAAATACAGTTGTTTCTCAAACCACGCCTCTTTTAGGGAGATATACAATATTCATAGATATGTTAATTTGATAATGTACTGGTTTCCATTTATGATCTCTGTGTTTCATCTCATAGAGACATCACTTGGGAATGTAACCAGTACAGAAAAACATGGTTGCGCCTAAATTTTAATTCTTAGGAGGTCCAAATATGAAGGTAAAGGGTTGTATAGCATTATAGTATAAGTTTAAACTCATAGAAGTTCAGGGCATATAAATATTGAAAATATGCCGCACAGCCCTATATTTTGACCTTTGAATAAAATAGTAGTGCATATAAACTTTCCGTTCTGGGATATTATTTTTCACGAAACTTCATAGTAAATGTGTCACAGTTTTAGCCGCAAGGGGAGTTACTATGGGAAATTGCATTGTCTATATTTACAGAATTGCAACCTTTAGTGTTCGAAAATATTTTAGTGTAAGTAAATGTAAGTGTTTAAATACATACATGAATTTTAGCATACTGTTAAACGGGACATATGGTAGTACATGGATATCAAAGGAATCACGGGCAAATTGAGTCAAATAAATGACGCAAAACAAAAATAACCATTGTATTGCATTCCCCATGTTTAGTGCTCAAATAGTTTCATTCATAAACTAAGGAATGCATATCACACTTCAAGAAGTCTTTATATATTCGGTTTGCAATGACCATTTCAGGGAATTCATGCCTTGTTAATGTCTTATCTGTCATAAAAAGTACATTTAGTTAATTCGGGTGGAAGTTTTGTTTTCAAAAGAATGTATGAGAATGCATATTTAAGAGAAAATATATTTTCAACTAAACCAATCATTTATTACCTTGAATTCGAATGATTCGTGATATCTACCAACCCTTACGGAAATGTATACGTACAGTAGTATACAAAGTTTAAAAAAAAACTCCTCCTAAGACGCATGTATTTATATTACTTTCCTCAACGGGTACTTTTAGTCAAGTAAAGCGCTTAGGGCGAACGTAATTGATCAAGAGTTTTGTTTTATATATTTAACGTCAATGCTCACAAATTGTTGCAAATTTGTTTCTATATTTTGTGTTACTTTTTATGCTAATACACCAAGTATATTACGTATTGGAAAGCCGTGTCTAAATTTGTATTGAATGGAGTTTATAATAAGGTTTTCCAGGCGAAACGATAAACAACGCATATTATCGTTTGAATGAGTTAAATAAAAATGAAGTATCAACATTTCTAGCATATTTGTTTACTATACGCCTTCTAATTAATCATCAAAATGACCTTCGAAGACTGCCGATTGTCATGCGATCCGATGTGAACATAGATATAAATAGACATTAACAGCGAGACACACAGACAGATACACAAGCACGTCCCTTAGGGCATTGGCGAGGTCTCTAGTTCTGTTTGGTTTCATGTTAAAAACTCACAATTTTACCTGGATACGAATGTTTATTTTGTGGTCCAAATCAGTCAACAAAATGCTATGCCGGGTGGCTCTCTTGTTTCCATTTTTTATTATTACATTTCTCTCTTAACTGGACACGTACCACGATGCTTAGCTAATGCCCAACCCAACTGCACGTGATGGTCAAGTGAAAGGATGCCCCATTACGTAAACTTATGAGATCGAATTATCGTCTTGTAAGACAATAATATTTCAGTGATGTTTTTGAGCTAACTTTAACAAATTATAAAAACCAATTTGGTTGTTGGTGGATTTCGTGTTGCTCAGTCTTTATTTTTCCGTGTTGTGTTTAGTATTCTTTTTTTTGTCTTTTTTGTTTTGTTTTTTATTTGCCATATATTTGTCAGTTTCTCATCATTGAGTTTAACATCACTTCGGTATCGTCCGCCTCTCCCATATACAATCTAACTATTATAAGTATCCTTTCAATATGTTTTCTTTTATTAATCTTTGAAACAAACAAAAATCATACCTAAACAGCTTTTTTTTTAATCTTATCTAATGCACCTTTAAACAACTGTTTTTGAAATTGAATCAAACTTAAGTTGATAAATCTAAGGTAGCCGGTAATATGATCTTCTAATTTTTTCGTAAACTGAAGGAGCAAAACATGTCAGTATACGTTACATTACCGTATACTATAATGATTTTCCAGTAGAATGCAAATCGATGTGTCTCATATATCGTATTTGTACTGTGATACACCATAAAAATTGTCGGTTTAACTTCACAAATAATACAAGTTGGTCTTGAGTTAAAGATTATAGGTGCTGAATTTGGTTATCTTTTTATTTACTTAAGAGTCCCCCCCCTTTTTTTTTGTCTTTGTGCTATTATGTTATTTTTAGTTGTATTACTCTTGACATGACTCGGTATGTGTCTGTGTGCATCCAGCTATGGGGTGTTTGGCTTTGGGCGTTCCTGATGTAGGTGGGTCCAGAAGTGCGATCCGAGTGCAAGATGTTTTTACAGTGTTGTTTCATTGAGTTCACTCTTGTATTTATATTTTATTTAATTTGTACATTATCGGGAAAGTGTATACTAGTACGACATTACACATGTATGTTTTAATTTATTGTATGTTCTATCAATTACAAAAACTTGTTTTGATGACGTCTTAATCAGATTTACAAGCTACTACAATAATTTTTTTTTTGCGTCTTTGACTGATTTATTTGTATGACTAGAACACATCCTGAATTAAAGTACCCATGCCTTATTTTTATCCTGAATTTTTAATATTCGTATTGTCATCTGATAAAATCATGCTGCTTGGAAGGTGTACAGTTTTCTCTGCTTTGAAAATCTTTCTGTTTGAACCCGTCCTTGTTTTCTTACTACACTGAATAAACTTACTATAAAAATTTTTTTTTTTAACTTGTCCTTATTTTCTTACTACAATAAACGTACTATAAACAAAATTTAGTTTTTAAACTAATTAACCAAATTAATAGTAGTAACTAGACTTGTTAAATAGTGTACTATAGTGTAACATAGATATAAAACAACTACTGGAAGAATTCCAGGTTCTCTTGATAAGGAGTGATTTACAGAAGGTAACAGGAAACTACATGTGACATATACTATTGGTATGGGAATCGGATTCGACCCGGAACTTGTTAATCATTGATAGTTTTAATTATGTGGATAAGAAAAGGGCCTGAAATGGTGTAATTTTTCAACAACACCATTGTCATATATAGTTATATATAAAGTTGAATTGTTTGATTCATCGCTTTTACGTCATGCCGGATAACAAATTGGACCTCGTTATTTTAGTAGCATAGATTGTTTGAATTTCTTTTAGCTTTAGTCAATTGTGTTCCATGTCTATGATGTATGTTTACACAGTTTTTGCTGCTGTATACTAATTATTGTCACATTAGCAAATTATGTCTGTTTGATTGCTTATTAATTTATGTCGATATAACGGATATATAAACTAGTGTCGTACAAGTTAGGTTCTAAACAATCAGGTTTAACCATTTTCTTTGGAAAATACCTGTACCAAGTCAAGAATAAATTAGTTGTTGTCCATTTGTACCGTTAGTTGGTATAGTCTAACGTTTCTTTTTGTCAGTTTTCATAGACTTATCCCTTTTTGAATTTACCTTGGAGTTCAGTGTTTTTGTTAATACTTTTTGGCTTAACCTAGATATACAAAAACATACACTGGTTAAGATTTGTATTCAGGTATCGAGTCCCTGTACGGATATGTATGTAGGTCATATGCAAAATGTTGGTTTTTTTTTAAGTTGGATTACTTTATACAGAAAAGTGTATTTGTTCTCGCTTTTATTACTCTCAAAACTAGTCACACCTCCAGATATTCAAAGGGCTGTATAGGGTTCTGATTCACGTCAGTTGTCACTGGTCTTTTTTCACAATCAATAGGCGTCTGTTGAATTCATTAATTACTCGTCCTTTAAATCAGGAGAATCTTTCTGATAATCAGTCTGATATTCAGTTGAAATTAATTAACAGAAATTGGTATATTTGGAATGTTTACATCTATCTCTTTCTATGGCCCTTAAAAGTTTCATGTACTAGATGCATAATTTAAGGATGTTCGCTCCTCTTGTTTTTGAAATTTTGCCTGATTTTCGGAATCCTCTGGTCTTATCCATGTTTTGCCATTAAAAAAATTTGTCCACTAACCCCTGCTTTTCTTTTCATAATTTTATTACATATAGTTTTAAAAACCATATTTGAAAATCTTACAAAATCTTTTTTATTTTTTCTTAGTTTTTAAACATGTTAAAAGAGAAAAGCGGACAATGTTAAAAGTATGAAAAATCTAGAGAGAATCATTTCCCGCCAAATTTTCAACGGCTTATATGTCGAAAATAAGCACACGGACCCATCATTTATTTCTTATTTTTTAGTTCCTTTATTCATATTGTATCAATAAATAACAGTCTTTTAAAAAGCTTGTAATTTTTAAACAGAGTAGCGAACATCCTTAAAGTTTGTTGCATCTTATATACTTGCTTTTGCTGAAATTATAGAATGGAGCTAAAAAATATTTTGTTAACCTGTAAATCAAATAAAAAAATGTAAAAAAAATTAAAGAAGATATATATTTCATTGCAATTTTAGACCGAACAAGAGAAGACTATGTTAATAAAGGCTGTAAATCAGATGTAGACGTTATATATGCGTCGGCTCGCAAAAAATCTAGAAGAACAAGTGTTAATGAAATTCATGTAGAAAATGATGTGGACGATGAAACAAATGTGTACAATAATGTAGCATCTGTACAAAATGTTACTATATACAAAATATCCATAGGAGACCTGAAGAATGTTATTGATGAGAAAAAGAGGACTGAAGGTTTCAAAAAGGAATATGAGGTCAGTTATGTTAAACATACCTTATAATCGTTTATAAATTGTTGTTCCAGCATTATTTTTAATCGAATGAGCTATTATCATTTAAAAAACTACCCGTCCCTAAAAAATGGTAAAACAAAATGACAAATCTTAGAATCACGTGTTTATATGTATTCAATATAAGTTAGCATAGCAAAAGGTCATATAGATTATCTAGTTTCTTCATGAGCGTTACGTCCAATTTTAAGACTTATTATTTGAACTCTTATTCAAAATGAATGTCTCTTTCATTCCGTCATTCCTTAACGAACGAACAGTTATACGGACATTTTGTCTAAACGCCTTCATATATTGAGCTGATTTTTAGTATGAGAGTCTTCTATGATGAGTTACAGGTCGAGTTTACGTTTGGTTTTGCTCCACTGAATTTTGCCGAAATAACGGACAACTTCGAAAATTCCATGAAAATAGCAGTTATACGGATTTTTTTCTAAACGCCTTCATATATTGAGCAGATTTTAAATATATTAGACTACTATGATAAGTTACAGATCGAGTTAACGTTTGGTTCCGCTCTGCTGATTTTTGCCAAAACAGTGGGCTTTGGACTTAAACGCCTTCACATTGATCTGATTTTTAGCATGTGAGTCTACTATGATGAGTAACGGGTCGAGTTTGCATTTAGTTTCACTCCATTGATTTTTGCTGAAATAACACGCTTTTGACTTTAAAAATAACAGTTATACCGACAATTTTTTCTAAATGGCTTCACATATTGAGCTGATTTTTAGTATGTGAGTCTTTTATGATGAGTCACAGACTGACTTTACGTCTGGTTCTGCTCCACTGATTTGTGCCGAAATTACGGGCTTTGGACTTTAAAAATTTTGTAAAAATAACAGTTATACAGACTTTTATTCTCAAATTTCCACTCCTAAAAATGGCTTCAAGCTTTTTTGGCAAGCGGGGTCATTCATGTCGTTCCGATCCATCTAGTTTTTTCTCGGAAAAACATGGACCACATACTTCGGCCATAATATATTAAGTTTGTTATAAAAATATGGTTATCAATTAATGAGTAATACATCTGTATAAAAAGTGTTTGTCCATATACACATGATATATGCGGTTATAGTCCGTTTGACTTCTATAAATCTTCAGAAAATAATTCTTAAAAATTCATTTTTCAAATAAACATTTTTTTCTTCGTGTATATTAATGTATGATATATACGAACTTTGACTATGAATATCATAATTTTGGGCCAATAATAAAAAAAGTTACCCATTAGGTCTCTATGTTACTCTCTTTTTTTTTATATAAAATACTTGATGGAGTAAGTATAAATAGTGTAACAGCCTTCCATTCAAAACAAAAACATTAGACATGTGCTTTAAACCTGTTTCATTGTACCATGTGACTTTTCTCATTTGAATAACTCTGACCATCAACAAACTTGGACTTCTTTTAAGTTTTATGTCATGTGATTACTGAACTTTCTGTATACATGATTTTGTATTTTTCATTGTTCAATTCCTATGAGTAACCTTAGTAATATTTTCCACTGGACACTAGTATTACATTTTTAAAAACTGCAAAGTAGATTTATGCAAAATTCAGGTTAGAAATGAAATTTTGTGAAAATGAATAGTATAAAGCATATTTTTTTTGTATTTATACCTTCATATGTTTATGAAAAGTTTTATCTACTAATTTAGATTAAAATTAGGAAAAGCAAACACAAAGTACTCACATCAAATTTATTATCAAGGCCATTCATAATCTTCAGTCTCATCTCCATCACTTGAATTTTCATTCTCACTTTCACTTTCAATTTCAGTGTCTGATTCAATATGAATAATAATTTTTTGAATTTCATCCTGTATAGCATCCTTTTGCCAATATCTTGGTTCAATGTTGTTTTTTATATGATTGCATGAATCTAACCACGTTGTGCTATTGATCTGTTCAAACCCTTTTTGAATAAGCAATTTCACATCATTTAGTTTAAAAGATGAGCTTTCCAGACCAATAAATCCCTTTAAATTTCCCCGAATAAGTTCTATAGGGTTAAACTCACAGTGATAAGGTGGGAGTCTTAGAACTTCATGTCCTTTCTTTTTCAAAAATTCGTCAACCTTGTATACAGGGTAAATTTTTTTGGATTTAATAATTTCATATATCTTAGGTTTCGTTTTTTTTTTCATGTCAAACTCAACACCAAGTTTATTCAGAAAGTCAACCATGTCACCTTTTCTTGAATTAGATGTGGGAGGTTTTGTACCCTCGACACGCACACTATGATATGACGCAGTGTCCATTACTATCAGACTTTTTTTTGGCAAAGCTGGAACTAATTGTTTTTCAATCCATTGTTCAAATATTTTACTGTTCATTTCCGTATGATTATCGCGTCCGTCCGTACTGATACCTTTAAAAACTAGATCACATCCTTTTAAAAAACCCTTTTCACATCCAGCATGCAAAACAACGAATCTTTGGCCTTTACCTAGGGGAATTTTTCTGTTTTTTGCATTGTCTGAACTAGTCCATTGATGAGAAGTAGTATGGTTGGTATCAACCCAAGTTTCATCTAAATAAACGACAGTATAACCTTCTCCACGTTTTTTCTTAATTGTTCTTAGATATTGTATACGTTGGTTAACAATGTCTTTTCTTTCAACTAAACCTTTTCTGTTTGTATCCACTTTCTTATATCTAAAGCCTAACTCATGCAGAGTTTTCCATAATTTGTATTTTGATAAACTAATATCATGATTTTTTTCCAAAAGATGTTTTAATTTTTTTAATGTCACACATTCATTTTTCCGAAATAAATTATGCACAGTAGTTTTTATCAGATCTTTGTCAAACTGATCAATTTTATCCTTTTTAGTTGATACATTTTTTGCCTTCAAGATTTTTTCTGATCCAAGCATTTTTTTTTATAAAGCTTTCACTTACTTTCAAACAGTGGGCAGTTTTTTTTGTGGTATTATGCCATGAATGAAATGGAGCTCCCCGCTTTGACTCGGCAAGAACATAATTGAACACTTTCAGAATTATATCCTTTTTTTGTTTTGAAATTTTTAGAGGCATGTTGATTCCTTTCTTTACATATAAGTAAGGGAGATAATGCATAATTAAAAAAAATATATTAAAAAAGTCCTCCTTTTCATCAATTAAGGTCTTTATGGTTATATTTTATCTAATTTTATTTTCATATTTTGAAAGTCATAAGCTGTGTTTTTTTCAATAAAAAAGTAAATATTAAATGTATTCTGTAAATACTTATTGGTAAACTTTTTAGAGCCTCTCAATTTTGTAAATACTGTCATCATGCTTTAAGCATGAAAAGCTTGCTTATATTCTTTTAGAAGATATATATAAATATATAATCAAATTAAGGTAACAAAAATTAAAATTTGGTAAGGAATAAAAACAAAATAAAACATCTGATTATAATATTTTCCCCTGAAATAACATCTTTGTAGATACATGCAAGTTCATTTATGAAATCATATAAAAACCAGTTATAAAAAAACTTAGATGATGGTCATTTTTAATGACATGTAAAGTGTCCTTTGATATTTAAATGAGTTAAGTCACATGGTACAGTGAAACAGGTTTAAAGCACATGTCTTATATTTTTGTTTTGAATGGAAGGCTGTTACACTATTTATACTTACTCCATCAAGTATTTTATATAAAAAAAATAGAAGTAACATAGAGACCTAATGGGTAACTTTTTTGATTATTGGCCCAAAATTATGATATTCATAGTCAGAGTTCGTATATATCATACATTAACATACACGAAGAAAAAAAATGTGTATTTGTAAAAATGAATTTTTAAGAATTATTTTCTGAAGATTTATAGAAGTCAAACGGACTATACTATAATAGTTAAATGCAAATAGTATGAACATCTAAACACACATTGGTCGGAATTATGATTAAAAATAAAAATAAAAGAATAATAATGACGTCAAAATGACATTTACAACATGTGAAGTATTTAAAACTATTTTTTTTGTAATAGATAGTTAAACATATTTATCATCAGGGTATACTTAAATGTTAATTAATTTACTGAAATTAAATTTCATGGAATTTTAGGGCAAATGATGCTCCTTTGAGAAGAATCTTTTCTCGGTTCATGTTTTTGAATAAAATAAAAAAAAAATGTATTCTTATATAAAAAATATTTATATAAAATGTCATATCTGTTTCTTTTATTGAGAGAATTTAATGCATTCATTACAGAATTTACCAAAGGGACCTGTATATGCACATACAGAAGGCTCGAAAGAAGAAAATAAATTGAAAAATCGTTTTCTCACTACATGGCCATGTATGTTTTCATTTGTTCTATTTCTCTATGTTCACACTAAAAACCATACATTCTTTCTTGCCATGGCAAGACCTTTTCAGTGTAGCTAATGATTTACCATCTCCCGCAGGTAATACATGCTAAAATATATTTTTAAATGATTCGTATACCCACAAATTAACAGTATATTTTCTAAATCGTGATGTCAAAACCTTTCTATACACCGGCCAAAGAACTTTAAGAGCCCCGTTGACTAGTTTGCGGAACACTTCTAAGTCGTATAATGTTAGGATTTTAAATTGATAAATATGTGATTATTGTATAATATAATATTCCAAATTGTTACTCAATGTCAAATATAGGCTAAAAAGTTAGTTTTCGTGAGAGAAAAAAATCGCAAATTTGGAAAAACTTATTTTTTTGTTTGGATTTAAAAAATATATATATATATATGTTTATAGTTACTACATTCCGAATTGTTTCCTGGTGTCTAACTGTGATATAAAATCATTTTTTGTAAAAAGATGATAAACTTTAAGAAATGTCCTTTTGTTTTGCATGTCAATGAAAATCGAAAGTTTAATAACGTAACAAAAAGTGTTAAAATAAACATGTGATTGATTTTTGTTGGTTGCTTAACGTCCATTGGCAAATATTTCATGCATGTTCAGGACGAAAACAACTTAACAATGAATAAAATAGGTAGGTAATGTAATAGAGGCCGTCCGGGATGAAGGTCGGGAAAATTTTGATAGCCTCTGGAAAAAAAAGGGTATAATGGATAGGGACAGAAACGTTGCCTTGCAACAAGCCACCTACGGACCCTTCAAAGAGTTGCTACAAGGGTTCTCAACGTGCAGAGAGCGTGGCACACTCTCTACACGCGGCATCGGATTTAACGTCTCCATTCGGACCGGACGTGGCTGCGTACTTGTACATCCCGCACAACCAAACGAACGCCAAACTTTGGCAATGGTTTTACTGCCGATCGGAATAAGACCTCTTGTGACCATATTTCTATTCCCCAGTAAAACTTGGGGGATAAAACATGTATATATATTTGTATTTTTAATATATGTTCCCTTTGTCAACACATCCACTTAACAAAACAAAAAAATAATTTAAAATTTGGAATACACTGTAAAATATACTTAGCTATTTTTATTACACTAGGTCTACCAACAAGATCGTGTGTAATAACAATGTAAAACTTTTTCTAATTTCTCATTAATTTGTCCTTGCCGTGGATAAAATACAAAAACTTCTTATTTTTTTGTATTTTCTTCTTTTGCATAAATTAAAAGTTAGTTAACCTTGCTATTCATTTCATTATCGTAGCCCAGGAACCTTGTCAGTGGTTGTTAAACATGTCTTTCAGATATTAATGTGCTTTTTTTATTTGGAGTATTTGGTGTTAACAGCCCATCTCGATTGTTTCTGTTTAATCTATTCAAAAACTTTTATAGACTTGTGTGAATTAAGAGATTGGCATATTGTATAGACATCTGTCTATTGTTGAAGACTGTACATTGCCCTTCATATGTTGTTTGTTTTGGGATTTGTGGTCATTGGGTTGCTGTCTCAACAATATATATCCTTCTATACGTAATGCAGATATTTGCCATATACATTTTACATGTAGTATTTCATGTGTATGTAAAACATGCCTTTTAGTTTACTTATAAATGTGATATAATCAGGATTCAAGCACACTTTACACGTATTTCTTGAGCGTACAATATTTACAATATGTGATACACGTATCAAAATATTCTGAAAAGCACTTGTAAAGATCATGCAATTTATGCATATCGCTCGATATATATTATATGACATTTACTTGTATGTCTTGTATTGACGTTCACAGATACATCATGCATGAAAATGAGACAGCAAACCAGTAACACAAAAACCCAAAAGTGCATGCTATACTTGCAGGGCAGTAAACCCTTGATTCATGACGGGATGTCAAAAATTTTAACTTTATAATAAATCAAAACACCATATTTTCTTGTAAACCACTTTTGCACGTTGATGTATCAGTTTTTTATTGTTACAATGGAAGAAATGTATAAGGCAAATATTATACAATGTTTAAATAGAGGTCGGTCAATTTAAAACGTATCCAAAGTATCAGATACGTTGACGTATACGCATCTGGGGGAATATGCTCAAATAATTACCCTGATCGAGAGTATTACTAAATGTACCTTTTTCAAAGAATAACAGGGATCAAACTTTGTGGCACTGATTAATTTGCATCTGTTTATTTCTGAATGCCTCACTTCAACTTATTATATAACTTCTTTATATTTAGCATTGAAACAACAAAAGGGTACATAATCCTTAATTCTAATGCAACATCGTTTGTAACGTTCGTTTTGATTGGATAACGTCACCAATTTTCATGGCACCAATTCACAATTGATGCTATGAAAACGTACGCGCAAGTGCAGACGACGTATGACAGATTTTAAATGTATGATTTGGCGTTGTTTTCTGTCAGTTTCATTAGAAACGAGAAAACAGTATTGTATTTTTAGCCCCGACGGCATCAATCGGTGATTTGATGGTCGCAAAATGAAATACCCGTTTACTGGCTCCGCTAACGCGTCGCCAGTAAACTTAATTTGCGACCATCAATTCAGCAATTGATGCCGTCGGAGCTTAAAATACAATACAGTTATCTCCTAAGTCTATGTTGCATATCAAAGATCTTTGTTTCATGGTGACCTACAACAATTAAACACAGTTTTTTTCTAGATTGGCGATGGTGTTGTTTTACGAAAAAAGAGGGTCTACCACTGAAGGGTAGTACGACATATGACATTGGTCCCCATTATTCTTCAAAAATAGTACACCGAGTCATATATTCGTATAGGATAATTATTTTAGCATATTCCCCTAGATGCGTATACGTCAACGTATCGGATACTTAAATTTGGATACGTTTTAAATTAACCGACCACATTGAAAATAAAACATGTGCTTTTACAGCCGTAATACGGATGTTTGAAAAAACGTCCGTAAAACGGATGTTTTAGAACGTCTGTAATACGGAAGATCTGTTTTACGGACGTGGTACTATTTCTCCGTAAAACGTCCGTAATACGGATGTATTACGGACGTTTTTCATAACGTCCGTAGCTATTCTACCTGTGTAATGCCACAACCACATTGACTTATGACGAAACCACATCGAGTAATGACAAAACAATATTAAATGATGACAAAACCATATTAAGTAATATCAAAACATCATTAAGTAATGCCAAACCATAATATGGAAAGACAAAATATCATTAAGTAATAATTAAACCACATAATGTAATATCAGATACCTCTTAAGACAGCTGTGGCGTTCCATAAAATCCTGCTCCACCGGTGTCACCCGTCGTGTTCCTACGACAAATGGAGCATATTCGAAGTCATTTATGACACAAATATTCCTTAACAGTCAACCATCCAATGATGTCTTTCGTAATATTTGCATACGATTTTTCATAATATTTTGTATATTTATATATTGATCTGCATCATATTTCACAATAGGCATTACATGTCAAAACAGTTGCATGTAAGAGAGTAACCAATATTACAGTTTAGTACCATTTCTTTTTGGCTAGGTCTTTAAACCCAACGATAAAAAATAGGTTTTAGGATATCTTCGACCTGATATTTTATGTGTAATATCATCAGTAGCCCTCACCTATGAATGTTTGTACAATAACTTCGACTAATGGAAATGTAAATCTAGAATAACTGATATCAATTATGTGTAATGTTTTCATTAAGGTTAACATCTACAAGAACTAAGTAAACACCGTTCATAGAGACGCTTACGGAAGTTTAAAGAAGACATGTTTAAATTAGCTCACCTGGCCAAAAGGCCAAGTGAGATTTTCTCATCACTTGGCGTCTGTCGTTCGTCGTCGTTAACTTTTACAAAAATCCTCTTCTCTGAAACTACTGGGCCAGATTTTACAAAACTTGGTCACAATCATCATTAGTGTATCAAGTTGAAAAAATGTGTCCGATGACCCCCTTACAAGATGGCTGACATGGTTAAAAAAGAACATATGGGTAAAATTATAGTTTTGTCTATTATCGTAAAAACCGCTATGAATAGAGATAATCTGACTTTAGCAAAAATGTTCAGAATGTTGAGATCTACCTGCTGTATATTTAAGTCAAAACTGTCAAACGACTGTTTGCAGGAGTTATTGCCCATAAATGTCAAATTTTACCATTTTGTTTTTCATTTTTATTGACTATTCTGAATACTATAATCGATAGAAAGAGTCTTTATTCCGGAAAAGTGACTAGGAAGACAAGATCTACAATTAAGTCTAATAACTGAATTGTCAGACGACTCCTTATTGAAGTTATTGATATTTAATGATTTTTTCCATTTTTTAGCATTTTTGCATATTATCTTGATAATTGTAATAGGTAGATAGAAACTTTAGATAGCAAAAACGATCAACAAGACAAGATCTACAAATAGATTACATTGCCGAAATCTTCAGTCGACTCGTTATTGGAGTTATTGCCCTTTAAAGATGATTTTTATCATTCTTTTAGTTTTCGCCTATTATCTTGAAAAGTATAATAGATACAAATGTAGATAGAATCTTTAAAAACCAAAAAAGACCAGTAGGACAAGATCTTCAAATATGTCAACATGACTGAAACGGTCAGTCAGGTCTTAATAAAGTTATTCCCTTATAATGATGATTTTTACTTACAAGTGGCCATGGTTGAAGATGCAGGTGAGCGACACAAGCCCTTTTATAGCCTCTAGTTATTTTTGCAGATGACTTTTCAATTACAATGCGTATGTTTCATTTCAAGCACTAGCGCTACTCACTAAATGAGAAATTAAAAAGTACTGTCAAAGATAAAAAAAAAATACATTGTTGATAAAGCTCTGTAGTTGCGATTGTCAGACTTATTTCAAGTTCTTGATACTCAAAATAAAATTTGTTGTAGATGACCATTCACGTGTTGTTCTAGTGGGGGATACTAAGCATGAATATATAAACGCTAGTTATATTACTGTAAGTGTTTAAAGAATACCTTTAAGATTAAACTTGCATGCAGTTATTTATCGAATCACATTTTTATGCGTTTCGAGTATAATTGACAAACATTATTGGGAAAATAGTAAACTAACATCTTAAACAAAAGAAGATGTAGGGCATATTTGTGTGTCAATGAAACCGCAACCGAACGACAAAAATAACAACACAACATCCTTCATGACTTCAATTAGAATTTATTATTGTTTCTCACGACATTTATATCCTTTTGAATAAACAAAAAAAATAGTATGCAACTATTTACACTTTTCGCACAATTTCAATCCATCAACACAAACTTTTCAAACATCATTTAACCTGTCATGGGATTTAAAAAAAAAACAAAAAAAAAACAGCATGCAATTTTACAGCCAATAAACATTTTCCAAAAAAAATAATGTTTTTTTTTTCGGACTGATGTAGACATTTTTGATGGTGCCTGGTATTCTAATTCCAATAATTATTTTGAAAATTTAAGCACACTAAGAACATGCAACAGTATTAAATACTGTACAATTAGTATGCATGTTTAATTTCAGAGCTACTACAAAGAAAAGGCATATATCGCATCACAAGGTATGCATATTTTATTTGATAATAAACCTACAGTTGGTAACATTGCATTCTATCTTATTAATAATCTATACATAATTATGTTTATTTGTTTCTAAATTATATGCAAATTCATATCATTTGTAAAAATGTATTTTGGCTTCAGTTATGTTCATTTGTACTTATTATATAATCATGTATTTCCGTGGTTTAAGGATTTCGTGATTATCACATAGTGTGCATTCAAGACAAAGAAGAGACAACCCCTAATGAGGTCCCCGGCCTAAGGTTGGAACAGGCACATGAGAAAGCGATTGGGATACACCGTTATTTTAAATATTTACCTTCTACGTCAAAGCAGTTGTTTTTAGATTATTTCGTAGACGTATGAATAATTTTCATATTTCACATGCATGCCGCAACGTACTGGTCTTCATCAGATTTAAACAAAATTATTGTACTCCCTCCTTTGGAAAAAAGGATACAGATTTGGTATGACTTTTGTGTTCGTGTGTATGAAGCAGTCTTGAGCATTATGTGTATATAAACTGGAGATATGTGAACAGTATAATTGCATTTGATGTTGTGATTTTAAGATGGACCAAAATTTACTGAATGAATTTAAATGACAATCGATTATCATCCAATTTTATTTTTACCCATATTGGTTCAAATAAAATAAATGTTTAAGTCCGATTTATCTTTTTATTTTCATATTCCTTAAAGCTAAAGCTTAAGTACGAAACCCTCAGGGCATCGGCTACAGTTTTGATTCTGCGGGGATTTTTCGACAAAAAAATGTAAACAAGCTGTTTTATCCTGATCAATTTAAATATGTGTGATAATAATGATACCTTCATGTGCTACTTTTAATGATAAATGATGTCAAAAGTTTTGTACTTACTAAGCAATTCGGGTTTACGAATTTTTGTACACTTTGGGAAGAAATACCTAGTAGTATTAATTGTTTTGTACAAAAGATAAACAGAAACGCTTTTTGTAAAACATTTGGAATATCTACTTTACATAAGTATACGTTAGATTTGTGTAACAGTTCTTTTGAAAGAATTTATATTTATGTTTTCATCATTACAGGAAATCCGCGTTTTGTTGTTGTTTTGTTATCTAATTGAACAAAATCATCGGTGATTTTTTTCCCTAAAACTGGTACAATATAATCTCTCTTCATAATCAAGCCAAATGTCATTTAAAAAATAACAGGAGTCCATCAATCCGTTTTCAATCTAATGATTAAAATCAGCAGAAAAATACTTTTTTTCCCGATATTTCACATTTTACGTCTCAAAAAATAACATATTACATCCCCTATAACAGTACAGTACTATGTCATTAATGCATCATGTTTTTTATATATAAAACACACAGAATATAGATGATTTAATCCGTTCTGATCCCAACGAGCTAAATATTTACACAGAAAATAAATAAATGCACCGATTTAAAAGTAACTATTTACTGCATGAAAAGCTCTCCCTTTCCGAAGATATTTTTAACAGTTCGGATTTTACTTCATTTTATATTCGAGCATTACACAGGAGACGCTAACACTGTCGACGCAACCGCCCTGAAGAAATTAATGAATATTCTATCATGAAATATGACAATGGTACAGAAAAAATAATCAATGAAACATGAATAGACATTTGCGGAAACTAGGTCTATACCTAGGATTACATTTAGACTTACGATTACAGTTGACGAAAAACAAGGGGTCATCTCAAAATATAAAAAAAATCGCAATTGAGATACATAGCATAACCACATGATTTTTTAAATAATGTAAATAAGTCTATTCGACGACACACATGCAGCCCATATGGTCAAAACAGATTTTAATCGCTACAAGGTCACCATATCTTTGCATTTTTTTAATTATCCGATGGCGTGTCCAACCTCTACTCTATTGTGTGTAATATGTTTTATTTTTATTTTCGGCACTTTCTCTGCATATTCTGGGTTTGTCTTGTATAATGTGTCAATACTGGATGTCTGTTCAAATATTTTGTCACCTAGCAAAAACAGCTCAATGGGGAAAAGTAGTTCTTGTCCTATATTTCTAATAAACATATATGACTGATGCCAATGAAAGAAATCCGCACTCAAGATAACATATCTTGTCTTCGTTCGATATTACAACTTGAGTGTGAATGCAGTGATGATGTCTCTGTCCTGAATAAAACTGTTCCTGTTGTTCTGTTATCGGCCGCTAAATTTCAGTTGAAGATCCGTCGATAGCCCCTACTGCAAAAGAAGTTTTGGCCACCCACCTTGTAAGTTCTGCCAATCATCCAAAGAAAGCCAATACTGTAAATTCGGAAATTATTGCGAGGTTTTTATTAATGCGAATAATGCGAATGAATGAGTATCGCAATAATAAAAATTCGCATTCTGATATTTGATACATATAACTGTATGCAGATTTTCCTGAAATCGCAATAATTAATCTCACATTTTAGTCCATTCTTTAAAATTCGCAATAATAAATGCACGCAATAATTTCTGAATTTACAGTACATAAGATGGCCATATGTTTCTTGAAATAGGTATACATGCAATATGTATTTCATCTTTGATAGTCGAAACACTGACGTCAACTATTCAAAAATCATACGACAAGACGGGTACGATTCCAAACACAACATAAAAGAAGAATTCAGTTTCTTGGGGAAAGCTGATGGTTTCGACCGGTTATCTGTCTGAATAGACCATCAACATGGACAGTTAGAAGTACCGATTCAGGAGTTTCACCTGTAAATTGAATCTTGTTTGTTTGCAAAAGAAGTGAATGAACCTTTCCCATTCCAAAAGTGTACATCATTGTCTATAATTATTTCCTTGATTGTAAAAGATTGGTTTGGTAGTGGTCTAGCCAGGACTACCAGAGTTAGAATCAGATGACGAATGAAATGCATAATATCTGGTGGAGTCTTCATCAGGGCAGGTAATACTGCCATGGTTAATGTGTGTTCTTCATCCATAACGGAAAAAAAGAGAAATAAATGCAAGTAGTACACTTATCATTTATTCGTTTTTACGTATTGATAATTCCACTCGCTTCACAAAAGCAGGCGGTATAAAGTAAGTGGGAGTCCGTCCGTCTGTTCGTCCATCTTTGACACGATTACACTTTTGTATCTGCAACTGCTCCCTTACCAACTTAAATAGTGCGTGATTTTTATTTGCAATTTCTTCTCACCTGATATACATTTGCAAGATTGATCTCTATTAATGAACGGAATATTTTTGCAGATTAATTTTGTGTTGGCATGGACACCGTCATTAGTGCACTCTATAGTACAATTTCAAGAAAATTTCACCGTGGGATCTTTACTGTATCGTATGCTCTTACAGTTGATTTAGAAAAAAGGGGGCTATATTGCAATTCTTGTATAGAAAAAAATTGTAAAATTGAGAAAGGAAACGGGAATGTGTCAAGAGACAACTACCCGACCAAAGAGCAAAAAACAGCCCAAGGCCACCAATTGGTCTTCAACACAGCGAGAAAATCCCTCACCCAGAGGCGGGCTTCAGCTGGCCCCTAAACAATAATGTATACTAATTCAGCGAAAATTGACGTCACACTCAACTCTGAAACATATAAATGAACCAAAATTAAAAAACATACAAGACTAACAAAGGCCAGAGGTTCCTGATTTGGGACAGGCGTAAAATGTGTATGTTTCTCTAAACCTTTGTGGAATTTTGTATGCCAGTAAATTTGCCATTTTTTTATCTGAAAAGACAGAGGAAGCAAGATACAAAATGTAATTATTAAACCCGCCACTGTATGACTCGAGACAAAAAAATCGCTTTATTAATTAAATGTCCCAGCCTAGCCACTGCAACGTGAATTGCGAAAATTTGTTTGCATGTCTCATATATTAAATGATGTTTGTCCATTCTGTCATACTCCGTACATTTACAGCATGTTTGAACTGGATAAAACCAAATGTATAATAATTGAGGGTGTGGATTGGGGGTCCTTCATTTCTGTATTCTTTAATTTTTTAGGTCATTTTTCTCTATTCTTTCTGTTATAAATTTTGCCTGTTATTCTCTATATTTCAGCCCCGCATTATTCTCTGTTCTTTACTTTTTTAGCCCTTTATTCTGCACATTTTGACAATTATTCTCTATTCTGTAAACCACATCCAGACCCTCATAATTAATGTTTACACATCGGTACAAAATACGATCTAGTTGCAGCAAAACCCAGAGGAGGAAAAATCAAAAGAGCAGAAGATTGACCAAACTCTAGCTGTCAAGAGGCCATTTTTTACAGATATTTCTTAAAAACCCCGTTGCTCAACTTGAGAAAAACCTCATAGGAGTAAGTGTTTGTTTTGAACCGACATTTTATATTTATACTTAGAAACGACCCAAGGTTTAAATGTCACCTGTACGTATAATTGTAATCCTAATCGTAGGTGTATGACAGTTTCCGCAAATGTCTAATGTACACTAGTTTGTACATATTCAACATTTGTAAGAAGAACATAAGCTCAGAGGACTTACTTTCAATTGAAATATAGTATGGTCTCCAAGCTTAAGCGCCATATTATTTAATATTCATTTATCTGCTTTCTAGGCATTCCAAATATCACTAATATATTAAAATGCAAACCGACGAATAGTTTGGCTATTATCTCTTTTTTGTCTATTTCATCATATATAATACTAGTATTCGGACAATCGTGACATATATTTATACACTTTGGTTACCTTGTAAAACAAAGTTATTTGGAGAGAGAGAGAGAGAGAGAGAGAGAGAGAGAGAGAGAGAGAGAGAGAGAGATTATTCAAATATCTGTCAGAAATGTGTGTATTCCAATTCTTAATAATATTAAGACAATATGATGTAGCTTTGTTTTATACAAGCATTTTTTATTTTTTTCCTATATAAAAAGGTCCAAAAAAGAATACTGTGAAGGACTTCTGGCACATGATTTGGCAAGAACAAGTTGGTAAAATAGTGATGGTAACACAACTCGAAGAAAACAGAAGGGTATTTAATCATTTCGATCCATGTACAATCCCTGAGATATATTCACTACGGCAAATGTTATTTGTAAATTATAAATTGAGTGAAACCTGAACCGTTTTCCAAAAACTGATATGTCACTTTGTCAATAAAACAAAATAGATGATATTGGGTAAACTTTGATGACAGAGCAATCCAACAACAATACCCAAACTTAGCATGAAAAAAAAAATTACTGCATGTAAAGAAATTAAGTCAAATCTGTATTTGAAAGCAAATGTAGATGTCGTGTTTAATTTCTTAAATGCAACCAATTATTTATTTTAGAATAAATGTGAACAATATTGGCCTCAAACAGTAAATAAAGCAATGGTAATAGACAACTACCGATTGATAATGAAAGTTGAGACTTATCATACAGTCTATGTGTATAGATTGATAACAATACACAATAAAACGGTAAGTCTTATTGTTTGCATTAAACTCATTTGAGTTTTACAATTTGTAAGTGTACTTTCGTGCTTAGAATATCTGTAAAGATAACGTAAGTATTAACCTTTTTACTTCAACAAGTTATCTTTGATTTCTTTTAAGTATTGTGTTCATGTTTGTCTAAAACTTTCTGACCGAAAATGTTGTTTAAGACAGACCCACTGATACAATAAACACACTAATGTATACACAGGCAAGAGTTTGGGCTTGTTTTTCTATATGATATAAAATAAAAAATGAACAAAAAATGTCATTTATTTTAAATCTGTTTTTAATTTTTTATTGATCTTTTTGGTGTTCAAACTACAGTGCATACATACATTGTTATCATTATAATGCGACTAAGAAATATTAAAAGTTTACAAGTCTACGATGTGAATATACAGTATATAATACTATCTTAAGAATACTTTGGAGTTCATTAAATATACAATCATATTCAAAGTAAATTAAATAAATTCCATTATCCCCTCATCCCACCCACCCCCGATCTGTCCACAAATGACTCGTGTTTGTACTTAGACAAATATAAATATTCTTTAAAAAGACAGTGAATAAATATTTTCCATCTTTCATCTTCCTGATTTTGTTGCGAAATAGGAGAAACATGTCCTTGATCGATAAAAAGTGAATACACATCTCTAGTTACTGACGGGCATACATTGTATTTTTTATTCTCATGCTCTAAAACAAATCCAAATGAGTTGCTGTTAGGTGACATGTGTTGCTGTATTAACAAATCTTCCAGTCAAGTGATATAGCAAGTTTAATAGATAAAATTGAGAATGGAAATGGGGAATATGTCAAAGAGACAACAACCCGACCAAAGAGCAGATAACAGCTGAAGACCACCAATGGGTCTTCAATGCAGCGAAAATCCCACACCCGGAGGTGGGCCTCAGCTGGCCCCTAAATAAAAATGTGTACTTATTCAGTAAAAATGGACGTCATACTAAACTCCAAAACATATAAATGAACTAAAATTAAAAAAACATACAAGACTAACAAAGGCCAGAGGTTCTTGACTTGGAACAGGCGCAAGAATGCGGTGGGGTTGAACATGTTTTGTGAGATCTCAACCCTCCCCTATACCTCTAGCCAATGTAGAATAAAGAAACACACAGCAATACGCACAGTAAAACCCAGTTTAAAAGAAGTCCGAGTCCGATGTCAGAATAGGTAACAAAAGAAACTAAGCAAAATAACAATGATACATAAATTAACAAAGGACAACTAGCAGTTACTGACATGCCAGCTCCAGACCTTAATTAAACTGATTGAAAGATTATGTCATCATCATATGAAAATCAAGCACAATCCCTCCCGATAGAATGTCAACAAAAGTACGATTTAGGTTAAATTTTTGATTAATAGCGTCACGAGACAAAAAAATTACCATTGTCATCTACAATATAATTAATGAACCTTATGCCTTTCATATACCAAGATCCGCGAAAAATACTCGTATTGTCGATTTTTATAAAAGGGTTGAACCAACGAAATTCTTTTCTCACATGAAATGCATCTAACGGGTTAAAACTCCCCTTGAAACGTTTCCAAGCAGATAACACTTCTTTATAAATAAGAGGTGCTTTTAAATTTAAATTCTCAAATTCACGTCTGCTCATAAACGAATCCAGTAAATCAAATAGATGGAAGAATGCTATTCATTCAAAATCTTTTTTTGATTTTTTATTGATCTTTTGTGTGTTTAAAATACAGTGCATACATACATTGTCATTGTTATTATGCGACTAAGAAATATTCAAAATTTACAAGTCTACGATGTGAATAAACAGTATATGATACTATCTTATATCTTAAGAATACTTTGGAGTTAATTATATATAAAAATCATATTCAAAATTAATTAAATAAATTCCATAATGCTTAATAACTTAAAAAAGAAGAAAGCAAAGCTATAGAATGTGTTGTTTTGCTGTTTTGCTTATTTAGAAATATTTCTTAAACATGTTGGTTCCTGTACCTTCATTTTCAATTTGCCACAAGAAGTTCCGCTAACACCAATACATTCTCCCATATCTCTTTTGTCAATAAGGGTTCTTGTTAAAGATTTAACGACAAATAATCTATTTTGATTAGATCAATGATTATTTCATATTTAGATATTTCAAACGTGTGTAGTGTAACTATGAGATTAATTTTCTAGTAGTAAGAATATTCTGTCTTTATAGAATCAGAGAGAACGAAATATTCATCATTTTCATTTTATACAATGGCCGGACCACGGTGTTCCAGATAGCATTAAACTGGTAAACTTTTACAGAAAAGTCGCTAGTGAACAACATAATCAGAGTGGACCAATGATTGTGCACTGCAGGTATGCTTAAAAGTATTAACACCAACTTGAAGGCTCTAGCTACAAACCAAATTGTTATTTATTTAAAACAAACTTGTTATTCTATCATGAAATTTGAAAAAAGGAAGAACATTTTATAATTATACACAATTATTATAAAACAGTTCTATTTGTTTGGGTTTTTTTTGACAATGATACACGATATAGTATTCTGCTATACCAATGCAATTATTTTTATAGTATGTGATGTTTTATTAATTCATTGAAAAAAGGTCTCTATAATCCTTAACTCGATAATTTGAAAATCACTTTAAATTAAGGAATGCATCTCCGTCATGTTTACGTGTTCCTCTGATTCCTTGTTGACACTACCCTATGTCCTTAATGGGTATGTTAACACTTCAAAGTTTAAAGTAAGGTTTGAAATTTCAAATATTCGGACATCGCGAATCACTGACGAAACATTGATTGTCAAAATTTGCACCATTGGTAAGTTTAATGTGATTACCGTATGTTGGTGACCCAACTAACTACTGCATATATTTGTTTGTCCACATGGTGTTTGCGGGTGTCTGTAGCCGTGATTTATTATGAATCGTTCATCCATCTTGTTTTTACAAAACGTTCACAAAGAAACAAAAGAAAACCACTGAAGATTTGAAATCTGGATTTATATTGTATGATTTGTTGTACGAATATCTGCCTATGTAGAATCGAATTTAAATTCTACATTTAACAATGTTCAAACAATTTTCTACTTTGAAAAGCAGTTATAATTGTAAACAATTTGTTTTGAAGTGCCGGTGTTGGCAGAACAGGAACATTCATTGCTGTAGATGCGTTATATGAACATGGACAGAAAGTTGGCTCTGTTGATGTTATGGAGTATGTTCAAATGATGAGAAAGGATAGAATGAATATGATACAGACATATGTACGTTTTATTACCTTTATGGTTATATCAGTCTGATTAAAATATAGATCCTGTGTCAACGCTTTGCTTACATGGATCTGACAGCGTTCCGTTCTACTGTTCATTTTAAAGACCCTTTGGAATCCTCTGGATTTTTGTTGTAATGATACACAACTTAAAACATTTGTAGACTGAATTTTCATTGGATGATGCAATCATTACAAGAACATAAACGAAGTGTTATCAAATCATTGAAAGCGAAGTTCTAAAAAAAACGCAAGTGTATTTTAATCAAATTCTGGTTGTATGAAATGAAGATATATATTGTCTTATATATAGTAGAAGCTTCAGCGACGTATTCAATAAAACAAAGTCGATCCAAAGTGTACCTCAGTAACAATGATTGTTCTGTGTATAAACAGTACTCTGAACCTCAAGCACAATTATGTACTGAAATAAAAACAAAATATAATCAAAGATAAACAACATTGTGAGTGTTGAAAGTATTGAAGTTGATCAGAAAGTATGCCATATTTTACAATTAGCAAAATATGAATCTTTTTCATATTTTTCGCCGTTTTATTTTTTTTAATATTTAACTTTCATGAAAACTTTAAATCAATTAATATAGTATCATAAGTTGATTATGCTTAGATAACAGCTTTAAAGAAAATGCTTTGGAATTAGAGAGTGGGGAAATCCCGTCCTTGCGCAACCACACCTCAGGTGATGATCATTCCATATAACTATTCAATTGCTGTTTATAACAAATGTATCCTGTTTGTTGTCTACATTTGGATGTCTTCTTCTGTAATTTGCTAATGATCACTTTTGGATGAAGTTCTTAAATATTTCACGTCAATAAATTATTAAAAAAAACAATAACATAAAATAAGAAGTGACAAGTACTAAATGTTAATGATATGATTCCTTTAATTAAAAGAAAATGTAATTTTTGCAGGAACAGTATGAGGTCGTATTTGAAGCATTATTGGAATTGTTCACTGTTCCAGAAACGTCCATTCCAAGGGACACTTTTTGTGGATATATCGAACAGCAAGAAAACAAAAGGTTACCACAAAATCAAACGATGTACAGACAAGAGTTTCAGGTATATTGTTTACACTAAAAAAAACAATCCTCTAAGAATAATACACATAATATCATTTATAAAATACGTTATTGCTGAGAACTATGTTACATCGTTTTCCTTTAACTTGAACTAAAGAATACAAGGAATACAGATACATCTTATCGATAAAAATCTTACTTCAGCAAAATGAACGTTGAGTTTGAATGTCCCTTTGGTATCTTTCGCCTCTCTGTGCACGTGGACTGCTAAACGTTACTACAAAAGAGACAGGCTTCATTGAAATGTACCATACTGAACATTCTACATGTTTAATGTATTGATATTCATGTAGACCCTCAAAAGGAATATGCGTTTTTCAAGTAAGACATTGTCTACGGTACTATTATATATGTTCCATAATAATGATCTTTGCTTTGTGAAAGGAAAGTATCAAATCTAGGGTTTATTCAATCCAAGTGCATGTCATATTCTGAAAGGTTCTCGTTCATAATTTTGTATCGTAGCGTTGTCCTTTTGTTATGTTATTATGCAATTTGATATCTCTGTTGGGAGATGCCATTTCTAAAATCTCGTGCTCAATAATGCAAAAGTCCGTGTTTAAAATCTCTTCAGCAATACACTTTGTATTCAGTAAAGTTATTCCATTTAATACTATTTGTTTACATTGCAGAAACTGCAAACTCTAAAACCATCGTATAGGCCTGCCGAATATAGTGCTGCACGTTCAAGAGAAAACACACCAAAGAATTCTTCAAAAAATGTTTACCCACGTAAGATAAAATCTTGGTATTTTTTTTTATTTTGTTAAAACATTTATATTATATGCATACAATCCTTCAATTCTGAAATGTCCTAGGCCTTGACTATTAACTACTTGACGAAAGAGAGTATTACACGTTAATAATCATGCAATTTGGAAACAAAAATATACATTACGCTCTGAAAATATATGAATTCAATTTTGAAGATGCATATATACTAATGCAAGAATATATTACTACTGTTATTGTTTTAACCTCTCGGACACATATACTACGAAAGACAATTCTTGAACGCATGATTCTCTACAAAGAACGATAGATATTTTCCACCAAACACGATTGTCTACTTCAACTCATCTAAAATTTATACTTTTACAGCATCTGATATAAGATTAGAATAATATGATTTCTTATCGGCATTTTAAGAACTTTGAGCTAGCTGTCAAGTTCTGCGAGAATTCTATGATATACAGAATTATTAATTATTTATTAATTATGGTTTTTAGCTATCTACTTTACCGTTATTATAGAGTTAATTGCTCTTATGGTATAAAAATAAGCAGATGTGGTATGATTGCCAATGAGACAACTATCCCCATAAGTTAAAATAAAGTGAATGAAAGCAATTATAGGCAACCGTACGGCCTTCAACAATGAGAAAAACCCATTCCGTATAGTCGGCTATAAAAGGCCCAGACATGACAAATACGAAACAATTCAATTGAAAAAACTAACAGCTTAATTTATAAGAAACAATTTCCGGAAAACGAATATTACAGACATGAACCAACGACAACCACTGAACTGCATGCTCCTGACTTGGGACAGGCACATACAGAATGTGGCGGGGTTGTACTTGTTTTAATGGATTATACAAATAATGAGATAGAGATCAAAGGACGTGCATGCTAAACAAATAGATCATCGTAAGGCTTACGACGATAAGTAAAAAGCCATACAGTGAAGTAAGCCATCAACGGCCCTGATATGAGAAAATTAGAAATGATTGAATAAATAAAAACCAGCCTGATGTTAAGGGAGTTAGGTTGTGATAGCAGATCTTTTATTGTTTCTGATAAATTTGTGCACAACTAATATCGAATTGGGATTGTTTGGAGCTTGACGTATTGTATCGACACCTGTCTATTGTTAAAGACCGTATATTACCCTTTTGATTAGACATCTTAGTTGGATATGTTAGTCGTTCAGTTGCTGATTCTTTGACGTAAACACCAAAATTCTTTCCATTCATGAACACAGATAACAACAACAACGAAAAAAAACCACATACCTTCAAACAGAAATAATAATGATAATAAAAAATCAATCGAACGAGTTCAAATAAAAAAAAATTAACACGTTTCTGTTCTATCAGCGTTGTTGCTGTTTACAAAGATATAATATAATCCCGGCGAGGGAAGAACAAAAATTTGCTTGCGCAAATTTGCAGATTTAACATTGTTGTGCTGATATTTAGACGAATTATATATACAGAATGTGTTTTTCAGCCTTGTATCACCATCACTGGTGATCTGATGGATAAAATCTGTTGTAGAATTGTCACTGATTCAGACGTACTCATAATATAATTATTTCTGTGACTGCATCTTACATTAATTTGTAGGATCCTTTACAATAGATAATTCAGCTGATCTGTAACATTTCCATCTTCATACCTTATATATCATGTACTGTGTTACGACGCTAGATTAAAACTGACGAAGAAAGGTAACACACGGCCACCGAAAGCTTTATTTTTGTAGAGCTTAGGTGGTCGAGTGGTTTAGCGCGTCGGGCACAGTGCAAGGCGATTTGGTGCCACGATATCGCAGTAGCATGAGTTCGAATCCCGGCCAGGGAAGAACAAAAAATTTGCTATCGCAAATTTACAGATCTAACATTGTTGGGCTATTATTTAGACGAATTATATATACAGAATGGTGTTTTCAGCCTTGTATCACAATCACTGATGATCCGATGGATAAAATCTGTTGTAGAGTCGTCACTGGTTCAGACGTACATTGTTTTTTTTGTACTTATATATATCTATATATATATATATATATATATATATATATATACAACCAAGTCTTAATTGAAAACAACGTTCAAACCTATGATTGCGTTGGATAAAAACCGCAATTTTTATACGTGTGCATGCAAAACAATTTTCTTGGTAGAGGGGTCTAAATACAAAACAAACAAAATTTTCCAAAAGACCAAAAAAGTTAAAAAGTATATTTTGACAAAACGCATTGACTAGCAGATCGAACAACGGATGTTCTTAAAACCTCCTGACTGCCATGACGATTGCAAAATTAACGCATCAACAGATTTAACAAAATGGATCTTAATTATTAATTTGATACCAAACAGAAAACAATAAACTTGCAGGAAAGATGGTATACCGCAAACATGAGGTGCAAAAATGTGTACGCCATATCCGGATTTCGACAATAAATGTCTCTTCAGTGATGTTAGGAATCGAAACGGTATTTGGAAGGCCATATAATTTACCTTGATTTAGGATTGACTCTTGAATGATGAAGACTCGAAATAGATGAACTGATTATATAAACCCGAAGGCAAATATAATACAAGCCCAATCGAAAAAATGTAAACAAGTCTAAACTGAAAACAACGTTCAAACCTATGATTGCGTTGGATAAAAACTGCTATTTTTATACGCGTGCATGCAAACCAAATGTATTGGTAGAGGGGACTAAATACAGCACAAACAACATTTTCCAAAAGACCAAAAAAGTGAAAAAGTATATTTTAACAAAACGCATTTCACTAGCAGGTCGAACAACGGATGTTCATAACATCTGCTGACTGCAATTGGCGATTTCCAAATAAACGGATCACCAGATGTAACAAAATGGATCTTAATTTCAATTTAATACTAACCAGAAAACAAGAAACGTGCAGAAAAGATGGTATACCGCAAACATGAGGTGCAAAAAATTGTACACCATATCCGGATTTCGACAATTAATGTCTCTTCAGTGATGTTAGGAATCGAAACGGTTTTTGAAGGTCATCTAATTTACCTCAATTTAGGATTGACTCTTGAATTTTGAAGAATCGAAATAGGATGAACGGATTATATAAACCCGAAGACAAATATAATACAAGCCTAAAAGAAAAACTATAAACAAGCCCAAACGAAAAAATATACTAATAAACAAGTCTAAATTGAAAACAACATTTAAACCTATGATTGCGTTGGATAAACATATATAAATTTATATAATATGTGTTTTCAGCCGTGTATCACCTTCACTGGTGATCCAATGGATGGATCTGTCGTAGAGTTGTCCCTTGTTTAGACGTACTTATCAAATAATTATTTCTGTGACTGTATCTTACGATCTCTTCATGCCTAATATATCATGTACTGTGTTACAACTCTAGATTCTACTGCCGATGAAAGGTAACACTAGTCCACCGAAAGCTGAATTTTTGGTTCAGTCTAGGTGGTCAAGTGGTCTGAAGCGTTGGACACATTGCAGACGGTGTTGTCACGATATCCCAATAGCATGTGTTCCAATCCCGGCAAGGGAAGAACAAAAAATTGCTTCCGCAAATTTGCAGATGTAACATTGTTGTGCTGATATTTAGAGTAATTATGAATATAATATGTGTTTTCAGCCGTGTATCACCTTCACTGGTGATCCAATGGATGGATTTGTCGTAGAGTTGTCACTTGTTTAGACGTACTTATATATATAAATATAGAGCGTATTATACTTAACCTTATTAACATCTTGTAATCCATGGAGTCATTATGCAAATCTTTGTAATCTTTCAATAACATTTTTAAACTTGATATAATAATTTTATTTAAGTTATATTATATCCATTACAAACAATGTACAGAAGTTATATTTTACATGTACACTATGTTAATTGTACAAAAAAGTACATGTTATTAAAGTTTAAAGCGTCATTCGATCACTGCAGCTAATGATCATTCATTTGTTGCTTAACTTAATCATTTATTTGTAGATGACAATTATAGACCTTACCTAATGTCATTTGGTAAAACACGAAATGATTATATAAATGGAGTGATAGTTCCCGTGAGTACAAATTTTATCTCCATCTAAGCATTGGCATTTTCGTTATTTTTATAATTATTTCATTGATGTAAATTCGATGAACTTTAACATTAACTCACTTATGAATATCCATTACAATCTCATGGGCTTTGACCTTCGTTGTCTCATATCGTATCTATGATGACTTTATTTCCTGACATGCGACCTATCAATTAGACTAATGGCCAGGTTTCCATATACACAAGCAACACCCTTCCTGGGACCACCTTTGGTTTTTGATTGGGTCAGTGTTGCTCAGTGTTTAGTTTTTTACATTGTGTTTTGTTTTGATTCATTCATTTATATGTGGAATTTAGAATGTGATACATAAGGGAAATTTGTATTCATACATTTGGAACATTTAAAAAGTAATATGTAAGAAACTCAATTCACATTTCTGTTATAATAAGTAATTTTTTAAGTAAAATCATTTGAAATTATGACAAAATTAATTAATGTGCCAGTTCTCGCAAAGTGTGAATACTGAATGCGTATTTCCCCTTACTTGTTGCATGTACTTGTAGTTTATTTAACACATACATTGAATTGTTCTTTTTGTATAGTTTTATTCTTATATTTAAACACTCCAGCTGTTGAATTTGCTTTGTCTGTTATCATATCAAATTATTTGTACACTGAATTGTCATCTTTATAACCACTTTTATTTTCAAACTGTAAGAATCAAATCAGGCAAATGACGTTTGTGTCAATGATTACGTTTGATAGTTTTTTTAACCAATTAAAATACACAGACATTGATTTTCAATTTAACATTTAACCTAGTAAAAGGAAGTTTAATATATCGTGTTCTAATGATAAGTACATGTTTGCCTATTATGTTGTAGGGATATTCAGCAGAAAGCAAGTTCCTTGTAACACAGTGTCCATTGGTAGAAACAGTAGTTGATTTTTGGACTATGGTGTATGACCACAGCTCCACAATTGTTGTTTTGTTAGATTCTGTGAATAAGGTAAAGGCTGCTCAATATCATAATGTGATAACAGGTAAACCTTGATACATGTCATGACCAGCTAATATGCATGTAACTACTTTTAATCCTTTTCTGACGACTTAAACTTTGAAATAGTTTTCACACAAAAGTCTAAAATCACTACCATATGTCTACACTATCAATCTATCCGATAATGAATTGTAAATACCACAAGCATGTCCTTTAATAGTACGGACAGTATAACCTCAGCAATGACAGTGTATTAATTTTTCATTTATTTTCTCTTGTCATTAAATTTTCTTTTATATAAAGCTCTTGTCGTTTGATGTTTTATTATTATGAAAAGGAGATGTGGTATGATTACAAACAAAACACTTATCAATTCCCTTTAATTGCTTCCGTTTTACCTAGTACATATGTGTACATTTTTGTCAACTGTCCATTTTATTTCAAGATTGATTTTTTTTGTCATTTTTTAATTGATTGTGTTAGTTTGTTTGTCTGTGTTTTGAGGGGTATATATTTTAAGTGATCAATTTCAATTTCATTGTTTAGTTGGTCATAACACGCTTGTGCATTGCTACATAGTACATGGGCTATACTTATTTAAACTCATTTTATAAAGGTCTCGCGATGAATTACAATTTAATTACAGAATGCTCCACTATGGGTTGACGAGAAAGATAAACTAGAATTTGATCAGTTTAGTGTTGTCAAAGATAAAGCTAGCTTGCAATGTGAACTGAAGCTTTCGTTGAACCATAAGGTAATGTATGTTATAATATCCTACACAATCAAATTATGGTTCAATGACAATCAACGATAGGCAAATGTAAAAGAATGTCAAATAAAAATACAGTAAAAGCATGGAGAGTAATCACTTGGCAAGTGCTATTGCAAATGTTTCCTTTGAGATTTTTACTTGAAATTCTGCAGAATTTCCAACTCCGTTTCTGTATTTGGATGATATCAGCAACCTCTAACTGTACTTTTGATTTGATTTGTTGGTGTTTGAGCTTATTTTTGTTATTGTTAAATCTGATTAAAATACAGATTATATGTCCAAGCTTTGCTTATAAGGATCTGAAATACTCCTTTTACTTTCTGTTTTACAGACTTTTCGGGATCCTCTGGTTTTGTCAGATTAATACACACCTTCAAAAATATGAAGGCTGAAACTTAATTGGCTGATGTAAAAATTACCAGAACAGAGTAAAACGGAATGTGGTCAGATCCTTCTAATTGAAACGTAGACACAGGACATGTATTTTAATTATTGTTTGCAAAGAAGCATTCAAATGTTTCCTACAGAAACTTATCGTCTTACAAACAATCATGTTTTAACTGTAATTTCTAACCTTTACAGACGAATATGGAGAGAAAATCAATTACTGTTTTCACTGCAAGCGAATGGACTGCGAATACAGATGTTCCATCTTCTCATGAATACATGTTGGATCTGGTTCAACGTGTAATTAATTGCTGGGAAATAAATAAAGGCCCACTCACTGTAGTTTGTAGGTAGGTCTATATAAATTGTAATAGGTAGTTCTATACATATTATAGTAGGTTGGTCTATATACATTGTATATTGTGGAATAGACATTTATTAATCCATTGCTTCTATGTTGATGATTTTGTTCCCTTATAGCTATTTTTGATAAAAAGACCAGGGTTCATATAAAATCTGAAAGAGCAAGAAAAAAGAAATGGAAAGATAAACAGAAGTTGATTAACAACTACACAGAAAGCTATCAAATGTCATTAGCATCTCGAAACAAACCAAATATCTCGGGGTAATCTGTAAGGACATATATGATTGAGCAGAGTACTGATAAATTATTAAGTCATTGTTTGTCTTAATGTTGCAGTGATGGCTGTAGCAAGAGTGGACTATTTGTTGCGCTTAGACTTGCTTTTGAGAAAATGCAGATGGACGATGAAGTCGATGTGTTCCAAGTAGTAAGAGCAATACAAATAAGACGACCGGAATTTCTTTCAGAATTCGTAAGTTTTCTCATTATAATCAGAAACATTAAAAGTGTATTACTTCTTTTTATTTGATAATGCGCACACATTTTGGTACCAATTGTCCTGTGAATGTATCAATAACAAATGCATAGTTGCTAAATATTGATTGTAAGCCGATTGGTCTGTCTGTATTTTTATCAATATACACAAATAAGTTCACAGCGAGTGCACGGTAAATTATATATTATGGAATGCAATGATCTCAATTTCCGTTGAAATCTATCCCATTTCATTTTACCAAAAAAAAAGTGACACTTTATACAGGAAAAAGCAAATGCATGATTATCGTATAATTATATAATCCTTAGTTTCTAAAATTATTTAAAAAAATCCGACTATCAACAAAGATTGCAAAGGAAATCCTTGTCGGAGAATTGCCTTCAGACTTTAAGCATACTGCATTCATAAACAATTTATTAACATTTTCTTTCGTTTTCAGGATCAGTATGAATATTGTTACAAGTGTATCAAAACACTATTGGAGGGAGAATCCCGAGATTCACTGTATGCAAATTATTAGTGACGCTAAACCAGTTGTTGTATTTAAATTAATGGACAGAATTGTTACATGTTGCCAATATTTTTTTCTATATAATTAGTTAGTTAGAAATTGTACCCAAGATATGTCCTTGCTTTTTCAGTAAATACTGTGGTGTTTTTACATGAAATTTAGGTAATGTGTATGCCTAGATTCTTATCCGCATTGTAACAAAACATTGCTTAGAACGGAGTTAAACCATCTATATAAAACTTGGTTTTAGAATGGTTTGTCCATCTAAGAACGGATCAATAGAAAACAAATCAAAACTAATAAAAAAATTCCCCAATAAAAACAATACAATTTGAAAGTTTTTGACTTATGTTCTTTAAAAGAGGCAGCTGTATGATTATTAACAGTGTCCTGAATATTTTCAATACGTATTATTCATGTGTGAACGACAGTAAATTATTCCTTTTTAATTGCATATACTTACTTGTGTCACAATCTTTTTAACGTCTAAATCCACGAAAATGTAAACTGACGGTCGGGTCAGCATCAGATAAAATTGCTTTCAAATGACGATTTCAATTATATTTCATTAGAAATTTAATGTCGTGATCTCAATGACATTACATGGTGTGTACAGTACACGGGAACATTTTAAATAGTATTTTTTAGTTAGTTTTAAGATTCCTAAAAATTGCTTGTTCACTCTGGTCATAGGTTTCTGTATATTTCATGAAAAACTTCTTTTCTAATGTCTGTGCATACTTATCTATGTTAGTTTTATGGCACACTGGGATGGCAAACAACAAAATGATTTGATAGACTCTAGGCTAGAAAAGTTCGAAAATTGAATGTTCAAGCACATTGTTACACCCATTTTGATGTTGTCAAATGTTTTTGGAGACCTCACAAATTCAATTTTAGGTCATAATTTTTGTTTTCGAAAGCAACACTTTGACAAGTACTGTATTGTTACATATAATTAACAAAGCTATTATATTGTTAAATTTTATTGATTACATGAATTTAAGAGTATTGTTGAACTGTTTGTAATTTTGTATTTAGAATAAAAAAAAAAAACAAATTAAACTATATTAAATTATAAATGGTTGCAAATAAAAGAAATAAACATCTTGAGAAAAGTACTGGCTGTTGTCGCTCATTATTTTCAGTAATGTGCTGTGGACTGTCATTTCTGTGGCTTGTTTTGTCGGTTTGTTGGCTTTTTAATTGCTTTAATTGCGCAATTGGTGTTTTGTAACTTGTTAAAGCTTTTTTGCGTAAAGTCCTAGAGAATTTCATAAATTTATTTCACGTTATAATATTGCTTCGTAAATTTTTGACTCTAAACTCTAATGGTATCACAATGCACAAAACATATTCTAGAAATAGGTTAATACAACATCCAAACGTGAAGATCTGTAAATTAGAAAAGACACCAGAATTTATATTAAGAATTGGTTTTCCTGATTGATTTTTGATTGCTTAACTTCCAGTGGCAAAAAATTTATGAATGTTCAGGACGAAAACAAGTTAACAATAAATACAATAGGTAGGTACTGTCATAGGTGTCGGCAAGGATGAAGGGCGGGCAGTTTGAAATACCACTAGAAAATGAGTATATACTGGATAGGGCCAGAAATTAAACCTTATAACATGTCACCTAGGGACCTCTCAACGAGATCTAAACGTGCACAGAGCGTGGCACAAAGCACTGGAATTAACGTCCCCATTCTGACCGGACGTGTCTGTGTGTTCATACATCACGCATTACCGAACAAACACCCCACTTTTGAAATGGTTTTACTGCCAGGCTAATAGTAACCATATTTCTATTCCCAAGTTACCATTGGGTGTAATTTTCTTAATGAATTCAAAACAAGAAATAATTCATAATAATCTACTTTCGCAAGGTGAGCGCTGTGTTAAGATTTAATTGTACAAATGTTTTAACAGTTGTAACTATTCATTCAGTAATTTTTTTCATGTAATGGGGCCTTTCGACCGTTACTAATAAAACTCGCTAAATCATATTTGTACTTTTTTCTCATTTGAATTGTTTTATATTTGTCATTTCGGGGCCATTTATAGTTGACTATGCGGTAAGGGTTTTGCTCATTGTGGAAGGTCTTGTGGTGACCTATAGTTGTTAACTTTTATGTCACTTGGTCTCTGGTGGAGAGTTGTATCATTGGTAATCCTACAACATCTTCTTATTCTTATATTTAATGTTTAAACATGGTGTTAAAAAAAAATTGCAAGTTTTACATATTTTAGTAAAATTTTGCATCGAATGACATCGTTAACCAAAATAGATTTATTTGAATATAAAACAATATATAGATATACATGTGTTTTGGGTCTGGTTTAGAATGCCCTTCATATAAAACTCAGAATGGAAATGGGGAATATGTCAAAGAGACAACAACCCGACCAAATCCCGCACCCGGAGGTGGTCCTCAGCTTGCCCGTAAATAAAATTGTGTACTAGTTCAGTGAAAATGGACGTCACACTAAACTCCAAAAATGAACACAAATTAAAAAACATACAAGACTAACAAAGGCCAGAGGCTCCTGACTTGGGACAGGCGCAAAAATGTTTTGTGAGATCTCAACCCTCCCCCTATACCTCTAGCCAATATAGAATAAACAAACACAATGCAATACGCACAGTAAAAGTCAGTTCAAAAGAAGTCCGAGTCCGATGTTAGAGTAGGTAAAAAAAGAAACTAAGCAAAATGATAATGATACATAAATTAACAAAGGACAACTAGCAGTTACTGACATGCCAGCTCCAGACCTCAATTAAACTGATTGAAAGATTATGTCTTCATCATATGAAAATCAAGTACAATCCCTCCCGTTAGGGGTCTAGTATCATACATCATAAAATATATGAGGAGAACATAACCCGTATCATGCCAACAACTGGTTTTAGAATAAAAGTGTTTATTTCCGATGCAAAGACCCTATGAGTGAACCAATATTAATACCAACATATGCAATTCTTAATGACCTGACAACAGTATCGAAACTATATCCTTTCCGAATAAGTCTGTTTAAAGGTTTTGTTAGCTTTTGAGGTGAATGCCGACATTTTTGTGCTCTGTAAAGAATATTACCATAACTAATTGGATGTGAAATACCTGAGCGTATAAGATGTCTGCATGTTAATTTATATTTACAAATGATGTCCTTGTACCGATGATAAAATTTAGTAAATGTTTTGACTAGTTTGTGATATCGAAAACCCTGGTGTAATAATTTTTCAGTAATACAGAGATTTCTTTCGTTGTAACATACACGAGCGAATCGAACAAGTTGAGATATATAACGTTACCATCTAAAAATGGATCATTAACAATAGGAAATAAAAAATAATCTCTTTTATCATAAATTTTTGTATGAAGCTTCCCGTTAAAGATATAGATATAAAGAACCAGGAAAGGGCAGTGATCATTGTTAGTATTAGCTTTATTTGAAGTCAGTTCGGCAGGATAAATCTCTTTAGTGTAGATACTGAAGTCGTCATTATTGAGAGCCAATGCATCATCTAAATATCTAAAAGTGTTATTAAATTTTTGAATCAGATTTTGTTTCGATGGGTCTTTGCTGATTTTAGTCATAAATTGTAACTCATAACAATACAGAAACAGGTCCACAATAGGTGGCGCACAGTTAGTCCCCATTGGAATTCCGATAACCTGACGATATACGGAATCTCCATAGCAAACAAAAATGTTATCTAGTAAAAATTCAAGGGCAGTTATAGTATCAGAGCAGTTCCAATTGACATAGTTATTTTGTTTGTTGTTACTAAAAAATAGGGATGTCAACTCGGTGAACAATTAATAATCGAGTACTCGTTGGTTTTATCGAGCGATACTCGAGTACTCGCTCGGGAATATATCTACAACACAGAAACACAAAAATACGTATTTTACATTCTGTGGTTTGTTGTTCAACGAACGAAAAACCATCTACATATTAAGTATCTGGGACAAGGAATTACACACCATAATTAACAGCTCATTACCTACAAGTACTAATTAAGTAAAAAACAATAATCTAATCAATATAATTTAATGAACACTTATTTAAAAATTATAACAAGAAAAAACCATATCAAACAATAGTATTTGGTAATCGTTAAGAAAACACATTTAATGTTTACAAGGGCGTAAGGATTAGAAGTTCTGCTTGTAAAGAGGAAGCTAAAAGTTTATGTTTGTTACAGATGTCATTTGCCGAAAATGGAGTCAGTTGGAATGGTTGTGAATTCCTGATTTCCTTTTGTAGAACCTCAATGTAAAATGTACGTCAAACAATAATGATATTGTTAGCAGCCTTATCAGCCGGGACAAAAAGAAATTCCTTGGCGAGTTCTTTTAGCTAATGTTTGAACCGAGAATCTGCGCTAATTACATATACATGTTATGGATACTTGTTAATTAGTAACCATTTTACCAAATGCTATCAAAAATCCTGTATTGAAGCAACTTTAAGCATTTATAAACATTATGTAAAAGTACAAGATAAATTGTACGATACATCGAGTTTCAGTAACTATTGCAGAAATTTTTAGAAAATGACACATGTGTTTTTAAATTCTTGTGAAAATTTGCCCTACTTAGCAATTATGCATTTATTGTTGTCATGTTATCCTTTACAAAGTAACAAGTGATATTTGTAAGATCAAACTAAGCCAGGACAAAGCATTGTTTTAGTTTACATAATTATGTCTAGTAAATGACTTTTTATGAAATAAGGTTTGCTTTTATCATAATATCCCAGATTTTTTGTATAATAACGGATGTTCTATATAGAGTTAGGGGTAATAAATGACTTACTGAAAAAAAAGAAGAACAAAATACACTTTTAAATATACGCAAATACACAATTTTTTTTCTTTGCTGCAAAGGGGAAAAGAGAGGGGGTGGGTGGGTTGGAAGAGAATTTTAGGACATTATTAATTCATTTTATGATATGTGTTTTGATCTAAACACTTCTTATTGAAAATGATAGCAGACCGTCTATTATAATTTACAA